GATTGCTAATGGCAAAAAGATCAATAGAACTAGCTGAGAGACATGCAAGACAAAGGACCCGGATGGTGCGGTGGTGAAGTGCGTTACTCCCCGGTAAGGACAATAGCGCGTTCGTTCCCCACCGCATACACCTGCGGTCTGGAGTTTTACAAATATCTCAACATTATATGCGAGTTACAAACTAATTATTTTCTTTGTTCCATTCTTTACGTTATTCAGTTTTTTACGAATCCTACTTGTTGTCTTTCATTTTATTTGAATAAATAAATTACTAAATTCTGAACATTCTTCACTTAAATATAGAGAAACGGGCCCTTATTGTTGCTAGATGTATTATCTGAGGTCGTTGTTTTTTCTCTACACCCACCCCCAGAGACTACAGTTTGGTTGCCATTCGAAATGGCTGTTTACAGCGCCAGTTTTAGAGATTCTTCCTTCTACTCTCTTCCTATACACGCACTGGCGTCTGCTCGACACATGTTTTTCACACAGTTTACCTTTGTTAATTGACTTCCCATAGTGCTTTCTTATTTTTAGTTGTTTTTTGATAGATCAGTTCAAGCGTTCAGAAACGAGAACAGCTATTTTACGGTCTATTTAGAATGAGTATTACATTCTCTGACTGTTCTGACGATAACCCAAAGCATTTGTCCATCTCTCCCTGTGCGGACCAGGCAAGACGAACAACTACCTATCTACACAGTAAAGTAATGGCCTTAGATCGATTACTAGTGATTCCATCTTGGTCAGAATAGGCAATGACTAGGCTTGATTGCCGTACCGTCGCTGTTCCATTGCCAACCCTCTCATGTGTGCGAAATGCTTCGCATTCCACAGGCATCTAAAGATTGAGTGGTTTAGGCACTCTTTTAGGAGCGCATGAGCTGCTAGATTCAGACGCTATACATGTTCATTAGTCCTTCGTTTTGCATAAGGGGCTCCATGATGGATTTCATCGCGGAATCCTTTGAGATGTTTATATAAAGGGAGGAAACGTACTCCATCACAAACGCGCTGTTAGAACGGGTATTACGCAGACGGTCCAGGAACTTGGCTGCTCAATTTTTTCATTCTCTTCTTCTAATTACAAAAGTTTGGCTTATACTCACAGTCGAAACATGGTCGTCACTCGAGCTCGAGAAGATATAGTGGGACCAATCAAGTGAGCGCTGAAGACGACGGCATCATCATAACCTGAATGAGGCGGCGGACAGCTCTGATTATTCCCCAAAGCACGGCGATCAGTCGGTTGAAATGCATCAAAAGGGGTTGACACGAGCTTCATCTAAGACTTGGAGAAATTATCAGCTGCTGATCCATGGCGAGCCCAGTAGTCCAAATAAATTGAGAGTTCTATCGCATTCGTTTGAAAGTGCAGGGCTAATGCATGCATTTGAATAGCCAAATCCTCCATTCCTTGAATACCATCGCGTTGTCATAAAATTCCAACAAACTTCAATCGGCCGTGTGCAACGAATGGCTCCGAATCCGCGTATTGGTGAAGAGGAAAGACCAACGATTGAAACACGGACCATTTCTGTCTATACCGCGATTTTTCCGAACAACGCCGATGTCATATCTTAATGCTGTTGTCCTAGTATGTCTCTGCTGGTTCGTTGCTTGATGATCTAGTAACGATATGCCCCTGTACACTTTCATTCACACTCCATCACTGACGAACCGGCAGCGGATAGAATAATTTCCGTCGTGTAGAGCAACGTCCGCGGTTGCGTCAAAACACTTTTCTGCCGTCTTTATGATCATGCGCAGTAATGCCTTTAGTTGTCTCAGTCAGTGTTTTCGATGGTGTGATCTTCACCTTGTAGTTGTATTTCTGTTTTTGCAATTAGTAAAGAACTGAACAACGTTGTTCTGAGTGATTTTTTAGCGGCTTCCATGAAATGGCTGTGAAATATGTTAACGAGCTTGTGGAAGCTCTCGTACGCCGTCGACGCGGTGTGTATTCTAAGTTAAAAAATAGTGGCTTAGTGTTGGTCAGTGGTGGGACATTAGAGTGGAGAATGCTGGAGCATAGGTCAGATGTATTTAGTGTTCGGCTTCTTGGACAACCGTTATCACTTCTGACACTGCGTGGAACCACCAATCTTCACAGCGGAGTCCAGACAAGGTGTGTACTCTTTCCCTTCATTCTGTTTGTGTTTACATCATCTAGTGTTTTTTTGGTAATTTTTAAGGTTTTTACAGGTTGGAAAGGTGCTTTATGTTGCAACTAAAGGAGGTTTCTACGAATTCGACGGCAATCAAGCGACTGCTATGTGAACGCGAAGGAATCTGTTCCCGAAGAAAATGGTTCCGTTGTCATCGCTTCTAACTACGGAACGGTACGTTTGGTTGCGTTTTCCATCTTTTTAACAATAGGTTCAGGTAGGAGAGTACACACGTAGTTTCATACTGTTCAAGAACTCTATTTTTCTGCAAGTGGAAATGAGGAAGTCACATTCAGCTCCGCTCAAATTTAGCTGTGGTGTAGTTGGGGCATGCTGCAGCAATCATTTGCAACACAAATACTGCTGGGTGTAACTTTTAACAGTCTCTGGATTTCGGAAGTTCTCCAAATCCGAACTCACTGCTACTATTTCATCAANCTCCATGGAAATCCACTGCTCGTTCTAGTGATGTCTCAAATCGATAAATGCTGCCGGATGGTCATAGAAGAAGCATTCGGAGCAGCAGAGAACTAAGAAGGTTCCTACTTAACCATAAGCTTTTTTATCATCAAGGTTTAAACAGCTTTCCACTTGTTGGTATATTCATTGCACTTTGTTCTTTTTTCATTCCTTGTTCTCCATTGTTTTAGTTTTACATGCTATAGTGGGTTTTCCTATTGTCTATTTTTTTTTATTACAGTGAAGATCTGTCGTTCGAGTTCTCTAACATATCCCGGTGACTGTTTTATCTTTTGGAAGAGCTTTGTTATGACTTACATCACCTAATCCTTAGTAATGCTAGTAAATGTGTTACTCTAGCAATCTCCCTATTCTTTTCTGTCGCATCTGGAAAGTTGTCTAATGAGCTGGCTCGTGGAACACGAAGAGTACTCTACTTTTTCAACGTCTTGCGCTCTGATCACGTCAATTCTTTGTCTTTTCGCTGAAAGTGTGGCCATTGATACCAGCAACAATACGTGGATCGCGAGTTGAAGGTGAATGCTATTGTTCATCCCTCATTAATCTGATCGAAATTTTAGGTTGAATTAACTTCTATGGATTAAGTTTGCACGAAAGTAAAGGAGGGGTTGGATGGAAATGCTATAATTGGGAACAAGCATTACTTTACTAATTGAAAAATGAATCATTATGATCCGCGTATCTCTTCCAACAAGGTTTAGGTTCAGTGACTCATGTAGCGTAGAATTGTGCACTTGTGGAAGTGATGAGTTCTTGGGAGGAAACTTTAAAAGCGATTTCGTTCTTGAAGAACTTTCTCGCTAGCTGGTGTCTTGGTATTCGAAAGAGCTAACAGTCGATTAGTAAGAGGTTCGGTAAGTATTGTGAGTGAGGCAGAGTTCTCTGCACTAAACCGTTCATGTTGCCCTATGAATATACAACGCTTGGTCGAGCTTCACTGCGCAGATTGGACTTTTTCTACCACTTAGTGTTCGACACATTCGCCGAAGTTGTTGATGTGTCTTATAAATCGCCTAGAATATGAATTATTTGGAAGCTTCACCTTGGTACAACTACTGAATGCTATTCGCTTGTTGGATCTATTCTTCACCGTGCAATGCAACCTAGAACAGTTGTTATGGCACAAAAGAAGTGCAGAGCAGACTTCATAACAAGGATCTCTTCAATCGTCGTTAAATTGTTGCGGTACTAATTCATTTACTTTCCTTACCTTCTGAATGTTTTCCAAGTAAAGAGCTATTGTTCAGTCGGACATTGAGTATTTCCTCGTTGACGTTTACCCATAGATGCAACAGTGCCAAACCTGTGCTGGTGCTTAGATCTAGATTTCCGATTTATAAATTTTCCACTTTCTGCGAAAACATCTGGTAAAGTTCGCGTTCTTTTCATGTTGGAAACTCTTGTATCCTGCAAATGGCGGTGTGACTTACACGTTGATTGTGCGTTTGCCATGATGTACCTCTGCGAGCAATCCTGTAGTGGTACCTTGATTCGTAACGGCAGCATAGATTCCGTATTCTTATAAGTCTTAGACCTTCATCGCGTGCTTGTACTTTAGCGTTCTCATTTGTTACATGTCCAACGTTTTCGCAGAAGGCGAAGAATATTTTCCACTTGGTAATTAATGGTTCTCTAAAAGCTGTGAAAGATTTCCGCGGGCTTTCATTTTCGGTATGTCCAAAGTTCACTCCGATTTGGATTCTTTTTCTGCTTGGTTCCCTAGTTCTAGTTGCCATTTCTTTCGTATTCAAACTTCTCATTGGTTACTTTCTTGTAAAGCATATCCATGGCTATTCTCCTCAAACTTCCTAACTATTTATAACTGTAGGAACGTGTTGTTCACATGTT